ATATATATATATATATATAGAGAGAGAGAGAGAGAGAGAGAGAGAGAGAAAGAGACCTTTCAGTGAATGCTAAAAGAAATTATAAGGTGAATTCCCATGAAATGTGTTTTATTAACGGATGAACGCTGCTCTTGAATTGTTTCATAGAGTTGAGTGAGAATCTGCTCACAAACAGTCACACTGAAACAGTGGATCATCAGAATTTTTCTAGGGAGGCTGGGAAACATATATTGAAAACCACTGTCTGATTGAAAACACTTATTTCGTACGCATGGATGAAAATTTGCCCGATGTGGGTTCTGAACGTCGAATAAGGTTTGTTTACTGCGATTTGATGTGGATTACTTCTCAAGTGTACATTTGTTGAACAAATATTTTCATTTAAATGTTTTTCAAGAAGCCTAGAATGAATGAGAGTGACGCACCTTTAGCCAGTCATTCAGCACTTTTGAGTTGAAATCATTTAAGCATGCTTTCTGCAAGGATCTGTAAATGGTACTGTAAAAATTAGCAACACTTCAACACGTCGAAACTGTTCATGTTCGGTTGTGATGAGAAACGTCGTTTAAAAATGCATGAATTGGATACGAAATAGTTGTTAAGTGCTTTCAAGTTTTTTTTTTGCTTTTTCAGAGAGCTGGCCTACTATCAGTGGATTCCTTTTATTCTGATTCTACAGGCCGCTTGTTGTTATGCTCCTCGTCTCGTCTGGAAAGTGCTGAACTCAAGAAGTGGTAAATATTCGTACATAATCCTTTATTTGAATGAAGACATTCCCTTTTATTTTTTATCACGTGAAGTTGTTAATTGGTCACGTCGGATAATTGACTGTTACATGTTGAAAATAAAGGTTTTGCTCTTTGTATTACCTCCGATGATAGCAATAAAGATCTGCAATGACAACAGTGCTGCGATTTTCAGGTATCAATCTGACTGCTTTCATACCAATGGCATTGCCTACCAAGAAGGTTGGTGGCAAGAAGATTTTGAAAGATGTGAATATGGATTATTCACCACTCGTCGAAAGAATTGGAAACCACGCCTCATTGGCCATAGGTAAGTGGTCGTACCGCATTCATCCGACGGTTAGCACGGGAACGGGGACCAGAAAAGCGCCAGGGATTTCTCCCCACACCCATGGGGACATCGAAAGTAAAAAGATTTTTTTCTGTCCTCGTTATGATCACCTCCACACAAGGAACAACCGATGAAAGTAACGTAAATTTTTCAGGCAATTTTACCTATGTTCATTTTCAGCGCAATTGTAGTGATTCAGCTTACGTTTTCAAGATTATATATTGCTAATGATGGCATCCAACCGATGGTTGGTCGGGGTTCCGACATTCGGATTCCGACTGAACAATTTAGAAGGTTGGTCGGAATTCCAACTGCCGGATTAATGAAAGTTCATGTCAGTCAGATTCCGACCGACATGAAATTCCGCTCGGATGCCATCATTATGTATTACATTCACTTTCATTGTATACATTCTATTAGCATCGAAGTCATGAATTATCTAAATTCAGGGTCTCGAATCAAAAACGATTATTGACTGTTCGGTTTTGTTTGTAATATTGTTTTTCGTTATTCTATGTTGCAGACGATCTCAGATTTCAGTCAGTTCAAAACAGTGAAAATTGCAGACAATCGTGTGAAATTCGGAATGTTTGTCACCATTCTATACATGATCGTCAAGTTTCTTTGGTTGATCAATGTGTTTGTGCAGTTTTGGATACTTAATATCTTTCTCGGACCCCAGTACACGCTCTGGGGAATTGGCATCCTGATTGATCTCGTAAATAATCGTGATTGGAGTGTTAGTGGACACTTCCCACGGGTATGTATCTGTTTGATCAGCTTTCAATTTGAAACATCTGAATGCGTGATTATGCGAGATGGATATTCAATTTGTATCATCATTTTCAGGTCACTTTTTGTGATGTGGAGGTAAGAGAGATGGGTAACGTCCACAACTGGACAGTGCAGTGCGTTCTCATGGTGAACATGTTTGCCGAAAAAGTGTTTCTCTTCCTTTGGTTTTGGTTCTGTTTTGTCGGAATAGCCACGTTCCTTAATTTTCTATACTGGTTAATCGTCAGCACATCTCAGGCCCAGTCTCGTTCGTTCGTTCGAAAATATCTAGTGCGTTCATCTGAATTCTATTAATTGATGATACTCTCGCGTTTGTTTGCATGAACCACATGAAAATATGTGCACGCAACAGATACTAAAGCATTTTTTCATATCGTTCCGATGCATTCTTGTTCTCCGTTATTTTTGAACAGATGAAGCGTGCACAGTTGCTGTTGGATAAAGCTAAAATGTGTTTATGCGATCACTGAGATATCGAAGCAATATTTATAGATTTTCAAAGAAGATGTTCAAAGAAGTGGAATTGAATTCAGTGATGTTAAAATTGATGGATTCATCAATTGCATGCTTCGTAAGGATGGTGTCACCATACTGAGACTGATTAGTGATAATTGTGGCGATTTAGCTGTTGCTGAAATTGTTTATAAACTATGGGACATGTATCAACAGAGAGCTCCAGAAAGGTTTAAAGGTTCAACACTTGATAACATCAAACGACAGTCAAACCACTCAGTTTTTCCCTCCTAAATAATTTTCTATTTCATAATCAGTTGCAGGTGTAAATGATGATTTATTTATCCATGCAACTGTCGGTTGATAAACTTTTATATATATTTCAAACATAATAAGGTTTTTCTTCTCAGAATTTTCAACTGATAATTTCACTCTTCCAATCTAATATCGTAGCATATTTTGGAATATGTTCATTTGATCCATCGGGATATTTGATTGATCCCACTTACTATCATGATACGGAAATATTGTATTTGGTGGTGTGGTGTGGAGATGGAAAAAAAGTCGGAGACGGGGACGAGATTTTGCATTCAAGGACCCAGAAAATGCGGCCGGCTCGAAAATTGTCGTGTACGGAACTTGGAGACGGGATCCTCGAAATTTCCCGACTATTAGTATAGCAGGGACGGAAAAAATCGGGGACGAAAATTTCCAGCCCGGGACCCCGAAAATGTGGTTGACTCGAAAAGAATCGAGGACGGGGTCCCCGATCTCCGCACCACACCAAGAATCTTGTGGTTTTTTCAGTTTCTATTGTTTCTTCATTCGTAAAAATCGATGAGCTGCTAACTTTGGATCGTATTTCAGCAAGCAGTGATGGGGAATCCTATGTAAGTGAAGAATCAGATGCCGCATATGTGGACGATTTCAAAAAGGATTATGATGTTGGCTCAATGAATGAATAGTTTATTTGTTTCAATCTTATTCCTGCTCTGTTAAGCATGTGCAATCTTGATTCTCTATGATTTGATTAATTCAAGCATTCTCAGTTTTAAATGATTGAATGTCACAAAAATCTACTGCAAGTATTTCTTTTTTAACTTAGCATCTCTTATATGATTTCTTGTAACCCCATTCATTTTGTGCTATCATAATTTTTGCCATTTTTTCGAACAGCGAAAACGTAAAATGCTAACTCTTATTCTGAAAAAAAAAACGACTCCACATCAGTGGATAAAACGTCAAGTGTTTTTCAAAACCTTAGCTAGATCAGGTTTTTGGTAATTTTTTTGTGTCGAATGAGTATAACTAAAATTCACCAACTTTATCGTTCACATGTGCTCAATTATTTCTAACCAGAAAACTATGATAGGTCACCAAGTCTTTAATAACAAGACCAGTCTTGATTGAAAGAATATGAAACTTTCTCTGAGATGAGATTTTTGGGCTGAAAGTTTCGTATCTTGCGACCAGCATCGATGTTCTATTTTCCCGTCGAAATTGACTTCGAAGTCCGAAGCAATTGTAATTAGTTTGATTTCAATGTCAGTGACATTGGTTCGATACAGACCATCGACAACTTTTTGTGCTTTCGTCTTACAGTGATAGAAGTATTGAAATGGAACTCGAATAGTTTTTATTTGACGTCTCTGAGGCAAAACAAACAAGAGAATGTAATCTGCAACTGCTGTTGCTAACATCGATGCAGCTTAATGATGGAACGAGTGAAGCTGATTTTCTCGTTTCTTCATTTCCATTTTAATATTATCATCCACGTCTACAGCAGACTGATCGCCGATATTCTTATCTTTATGGTTCATGTAAGGAATTTCGGTTGTTCCTTCAGTAACCTTACGAGCAATGTGAAGCAGGGCGTATGCAGCGTTGTATCCAATCATTTCAACCGAACTTCAGAAAAATGCACTTCGAGGACAGATAATGACACTTACTCATCATGATGAGAAATTACGATACATAGTAAAAACTGTTGGTTCACATTAGCTTCCAGGATAGATCCATCTTTTTGCATCTTGGAAATGTCTTAGAAAGAATGTAATGTAAAGCTTGCATTATCGTTATGAGATGAAAAAAACGAAAATTGTCGATGGCAGCAATCGAACTCTCATCATTCACATTGCAATCAGCACATCTACTACTGTTCCTGACTTCATGACATTTTCAGTGGAGAGATGAAATATCAATGCCGATTTCGAGATGTTAAACTTTCAGCCTAAATATCTCGCTTCACAAGATGTTTGAGCACTGCTGAAAAAAGTTTCATACCCATGGCTTCTCGAACAAGGCTCACCTTGTTCAAAATGATCCTGGTGACTTATCGTAGTTCTTTTTTAATTCTTCTTCTCCTTTTGTGATTTAAGCACCTTCCCCTAACGATCCTACCGATCATTCCATCTAACAACATTTCACCTAACGTCATTTCGCCTAATGCACGTCCGAGAGTATTGGTCCCAAGCATTCAGGAGTTGCCCGAATCCCTTGACCCTATTTTCGGGATTGTTTATTTCGTAATCTGGTTAGAGAATATTTGTACACTAAAAATTGCTGATATTCTTGGCTTTGTAGGGCATAATTGTGCATTATTCTTTTGGCTTTAGATTATATATACCTCGTCCCGAAAGTTTGTGATGTTTCTTTGTGAAGTTACTACGTAGACCTAGTTCTTAAGCCTAGGCTGATGCTTGGGCTCAGGTTGAAGTTGATACGTAGGCCACGGCGGAAGCTTTGATAACTCTGTGGCTAACCGTGAAGATGAGTTCCCTTTTTGAAGCATTGCGGGATAGGGGAGTCTTATATAATAACAGAGGTTTTCAAATAATCGCATCTCACAACAATGATTTACATCCAGTAAAGCCACGCCTCCTGCTTTTGATGCAGGCTGCCTCGAACTTACTTCTTGTCTCCTGAAACAGAGTTCGAGTAATGCAAAGAAAGGATAGTCTTGGGTGCGTCAAAGGTCTACTGTTCAATCCCAGTTGTTCCATATTCAGTAGGCGACATGTCGTAATGCTAACTAACCTACCACCTACAAAGATATGAATGAGAAAATTCACAAGTATTATTTTGCGTTTATTCTGTTGCCCATACGTGTTCACGTACACACGAATCACTAAAATGTACTTACCGGTTTTGTGGTAGACTGTTTCTTGGAACCTCAAGAAGCACTAACCTACAAAGTGTTCGAACTGTCTCTCGGTGAACAGTTCGCATCTAGACAACCTGCCCATCTTGAGGACACTGTCTAATCCTTAAGTTTCGTCAAGAGTGCTATTATATGTGCCATATGGAGTTCGACTACAGATGTTAATTGTTCTACTCGTTGATTGTTTTGAAGTCAACTTGTCAAACTTTTGTACTTTTCGCAGGACGGGAACTCAAGATGCAAGTTGCTTGGAATAAATAACATGTTCATGCAAATGAATTAATAATAAGTACGATTGTAACTGATTCATCTAATGACACGAATGTTATTGTTTTCCTTGTTAACTTTCCTCCTTGCATGCTCGCATTTTATGACAGTGCTAATAAAATGTTGGTTTACTTCTGTGCTTTCTGTGCTTCATTAACGATGCTGCTTGTTGAATTATAACGAAAATAATCCGCCACTTGAAAAAATCGCTCATCTTGTTTGCTTGATCATCTCAAACAGAGTCGTTGTTGAGATTATGGCCACGAGATACAATGCTAACAACAAGACTGTAGCGGTACTGATTGAACGATAGGAACCACAGTTTTGAGGTGGGTGTTGATTGAAACTCACCACTACCTTCAGTAAGCTTGACTGAATCATAGCATGTGTTTTGAGCAAATCGTGACATTGCTACTACGCTCGGAGGCAGCTTCCATCGGCCTACGAAGAAACAAATTTATTCATTCACTGTTTTTCACAATATGTCTTGCGACCGTGTTTGCACCGACTGCTGAATGATGTCAGTCATATTATAATTATTCACAGTCGGTGAAATTATTCATAGTCGGCGATCGTGTTTGCACAGAATCAAAGAACATATTGAAGTCGGTGAAATTGCAGATAAAATGTAGCGTTACATGATTGAAACAATATTGATGTGCAGTGCTTTGAGGTTTTTTTCTTCATAATTATTTTGCAATAATTGCTAAGTATGAAGGATGCTTCTAGTTCGGTGTGATCCCAATGGACCAGCAAGTTTGTGGGGAAAGAGTTTCTAGCTCTCCTGGAGTAATCGTTATAAACTCTTTTTCTGCTAACGTTTGGATATGAGACTATTTCTGTTGTTACTTAACATCATTAAAATGGTATTTTGTTATGTATGATCCTCTAGAAAACTTGGAAGTCTTTGTCCGATGTTATCGTCGAGATTGGCAAAAAAGTAATGATATGGTAAGGTTTTTTACAATATCTCATTGTATCCTGCACCCATCAGTTGGGCGATAATTTTCAGGCAACGATCTTTCACTTAGAAATCATAATAATGATCGCAGTATAAGTTACTCAGGAAGCTTCTTATTGAGAAGGTTGTGTAATGTTCCTCCGTCTTGATGTGAAGGAAAATGTTTCAGACTGACGGATCGTTCGTTGTATACTGAAGATGACAATCGTCGACGATGAATGACGACATTCAGTCGACTACGATAATGTTCAATGTATCATGAGACAAATCTGATCGCGCACATTTGTTTTTCTGAACAATGTAGCCGATCATTTGATTTTCATGGTGTTCACACCTTTCTCAATGATCCATCCCACTTATATGGTTTACCACATCATTATTTCACGCTTTACCATATATATAAAGCACTCCCCATCGTGAACGTCAGATCGCGAATCCTTATCACCGCCCTTCTGATAGTTCTGTTTAAGAGCGTAACGAAATAATCGTGGAATTTGGAGATTGGCTTAACTTTCACTTTGAGGACAATTACACTTGCATCGAACGTGATTGCCTTCAAAGTAGTTTGATGTTTTGATTTAACAAAATTATTGATGTTTCTCCAACAAAGTCATCTACCACCTCAGTGTCGCAGTATTCATTGCTATGAAATCGAATCAATAATCACCAAGAATCAAACCGTTTATTTTCTCGACTTCATATGTGATCGCATCAAAATACATCAAAACGTCAAAACATTTTCTATCCCATACATTCTTATCAAATAATCATCTATTCATCCTCTCACTGCGATAATCGGAACACTGCCTACCACGTCGACAACAAAAAGGACTAATTTTATTCACATATCTGATCTCATACATGTAAAATCACAAATTCACAAGCACAAGCATCCGATCCATTCAAAGAATCATGTTTCCATCTAGATCATACAGTTAGATAATTATTACATGTTGCAGTAACATTTTTCGACCAACAAATATGCATGATTCTTTTGCAAACAAGCTTTCGAATTATGTTCAGCTTCGAAAAAGTGAATCGCGGAATCGGATGACCCCCACTGTTCGAATGCTGTTTAAGCTGAATCAAAGCAGTACTTGATAACTGTTGGTCGTTGTCTTAACTCACTCTAGACTTTCAGTCTCAAATTCGTTGTGTGTAATGATTTAAACGTTGGAGCTACGGAGGCTACTTGCAACAAAAATCTTGAATTCGTACTTCATTGTGTCTTACCTTCATCGATCAGAAAAATTCGGCGTTGATTTCATTTTAAAATGCTAAGTTTCGTGATGGTGTTATCGTCTTAAGTGTCAATTAGTGATTTTCAGTATTTAATCACCAACTTAGTCTTCAGGGTTTATCCGCCTAATACGAGTTGGATATGATTGGCAATTTAGGTTCGTATGCATCAGCCAATATAGCTCTTTTATTTGCATGATTATAAAAGACATCTTTTTTCGTCAATTCATAAGAACTCGATTGGTTTCTCCAAAACGACTTACTAAATTCTTGCGCATGCAACTACCTTCAAATGTTGCCTTCAGTTGGTAAATTCGAGAGGCAAACAATTATTACATATACACGTCACATGGTGCGCCTGAAATAATGCATACTGCCCATATGAATTGGTCTTTTTATAAAATGATTACATGCGACATTGTGCTCATCACTCTAATTAAGGGAAATATTTGGATAAACTAAAGCCAACATATGATGATGATGTAATCGATAGATGCAATTATCTCGTAACGAACAGCATCCTGTTTTTGAGCGCCATTACCGTAGCTGCGAAACAGTATGTCGGTGAGCCATTACAGTGCTGGGTTCCAGCTGAATTTAAGGTATACAGCTGCATTATATTGTTTGTTTTTACATGAAATTTTGTATTTATTCACTTGATTCAAATCAGATGCGTTTCTTCAGGGTGGATGGGAACAGTACATCGAGAACTACTGCTTTGTTGAGAACACATACTTCGTCACGACGAATGAAGAACTTCCTGCAGTAAGGTTTCTCTCTGTGCAAAAAGCCATACGCTAGTCTAGTGGTTCTCACGCTACTCCCTTCAGTAGTCTGACAGGCCGTCATTACCCTTCCTCCACCCCTCCTGCTGTGATAATTTACAACTTTCACGCATAGCGTTAGAAAAAAACTGAAAACCTCTTCGAAAATTCCTCAGTGGTGTGAAAGAAGACGTGATTCGAAGGTGTAAATTTCATTTCGAAAAGATGTGAATTTCATTCTGATAAGACGTGAATTTCACAGTTGAGGAACTCTGTTTCACAAGAGCTTGAAGTCCTGATTTCATTGCTGACATAGTGGGTGGCTCCATCCATGCAGCTTCCACAAACGTTATCCCACTGGAGGTTTTCTGATTCAAAATATTGCGAAATTTTTTTGGGCATCTGCAGCATTGGTGGTTGTATGCAATCTTGAGCATAGCAGACGCTCTTCGCTGTTGTGTTTCAGAAAACATACTTTGTGAATACTAGTTACTGCGGACATGACGAAACATCCGTTAATTCATCAAGTTGAATTGAAAACATGCTAAATGCTGTTGACTTAATCTGTTCAGGCCCAGACGAGCTAATGACACTCACAAAGAACAAGAACGAAGAATATTGCCACGAGTGAACCGCGCATACGCACTCAAGTGAAAAAAAAAGACCATCACAGTGGTGTTCCATCACCATTTAATAACTACACAAATTTCCCAACTTCCTCCATCACCTCTTTGACAACCCCAAATTATCCCTAATGAGGCCTCTATGAGAATCCCTGCGCTAGTCCAAAATGGCTGGACGGAATTTTCTCTGAATCTTCCCTTTCATTCTCTAAATCACCGCTCTCTGAAAGGTTATCAGACACTGTCGAATGAGGGAATAAGAGCAAATTTTAAAACAATTTTTTGTTCTATTTTCTCACTAAAACAACCGAATAAAATGGGTTTCTTTCACTTAACTTCAGCATCAAAAAACTTTTTCCCTGCCAAAAGTATTTCGATCGTTTGTGACCTCACGTCGATCGTTTGCTCTTTTTGCAGAAAGAAGAGGGAATTCATGGAAATAGAGTTGTTCATGAAAAAATTCGGCCATATAAGCGGGCTGGATTCTGCCTATTTGCTGAAAATATCACCTCTATAATATAAATATTATATGAAGGGTCTGGACTGATTTAATCTGCAAATTTATCACAAGCAATCCTCTGCTATCAACGCGAAGCATGCTGAGCGTTTCGATTAATTTACTGATTCCTGACACTCAGCTGACCATTGTCACTTAATTGATGAATCCGAATTCATGTGAATGCTGTCTATGATTTGGAATAGGCTTCATAATTTTATGTACTGACACCCCATTCTATCGGTCACCATAATGATAAGTTCCCAAGAGTACCTCATTGGATAAGAATTTTCAATGAATTTTTATCCATGTCTACTTGAGGCCCAGAGTTCTTCGCTGTGAACACGGTTTAATCAAGAGATTTCCATCCCACGCTACAAAATAAACTTTAAGGATCTCAACGAAATGCATCCACTGAAGACGAACACCTAAGACTCTGTTGCTTGTCTCTGGTCACCAACTATTTAGGTACGAAAACAGTCGTAAACTAATTTATAGGTAGCCATATGTAACAGTACAATGCCACGCCAGTTCACTCATTATCTTACTAAATAACCTGTGTTCCGAGTCGATAGTATAATATAACAGCTTTGAAATGAACATTGATTTCATCTGGAATGAATATTCCTCTCACAGGAGGATCTGAACTCCGTTCCAACCCATCACAAAATTTTGAGTGAATCGGAGCTTTTAAATTCATCACTTTCAAGCAGTTCGAGCCTTTTATAGTTTCCGTGTAACCTATTCTTTCTGCTTATTAGGAGGAATTAAAGAATTTGTCCGAAAATTCTCAATGCCACCAAAGGGATTTAACCTGCGCTCAGCTCATCCACTCCAGTGTCATTATGCGTTAATCACAGCCTTTATTTGATAACTCTGCAAGAAACAGTTGTTGCAATTTTAGATGGATTGAAGATTTCTTAATCTTTCACAAGTTCCCTTAATCATATTTATTGGTTCGAGTGGGTTCTTATCTTGTATCATATGTCTGCTGTTAGTTGCCACCCGAAGAGTTTGAATCAGTTGCTGAACTTGAGTCCACCAAAATTTGATCAAATAGGGATGAGTTGATGCTAGTGTGGAGCTGAATGAGGAAATGACGTTTATTCGTTCGATTCTCATTATATTTGGTCTATTCGTTGATTGAGACTAACAAGAACCACATTTATTGGCGTATATAGTCGTCAATGACCATTTTTTCACTGAAATTGGGTTGGGCTCGAAAATGACCACAATCCAATTTCAAATAACCATTTTGTCATTGTGCGTTTGGCGAATACTCATTTTCTTAGAACAATAACTCTGCGTGAAAAGACGCCAATTTACCTGTAACGAAATACACAGAATCCTCAGAGGTATTTTTGGGGATGCCGCGAGTTCAACATTCAGCATTTGACCGGAGGACAGAATGTCATTCGGTCAAATTTAGTATGAAGTCAAAAACGACCCCACTATGCGTTCTAGGTTGATATGAAACTCATATTTTTTCTTCTAAATATGAACACTTTGTTCCTCAATACATCAACTTTAAGGGTGAGCTTCCAGATAGATGCAGATAGAGAAAGTCGTGAACTTCACTACTATCAGTGGGTACCATTCATATTGATGCTTCAAGCGCTACTTTTCATGATTCCCCGTACTGTATGGAAAACCTTCAATTGGCAAACAGGTCTGAATTTGTTTTTCGTTGTATTCTACTCTTTTTTTTGCTCAGCCAATTTTAACAATTCAAAATTTGTAGTCATTCTCTTTTAATATAATATCTGCAGTGGTGGGTAGCTCCGTCAATAGCTGAGCTACTTTCTCTAGTGGCGCGATAGCTCACTTCCTTTTTCATATGGTGCATCTTTGTAGCGATAAGTTCGACTAAAACGATTTTTTAACGCCCAAAATTGTGATTCTCTCTATTTTCATTCAATGGCGCTTTAGCAACCTAATTTGTGCGCTAACTCGTTATTTTTTCTGCAAAGGGATGCTTGTTTTTGCCAGCGGTAACATATTCAAAATACATATTTACGCTCTTGCGATGATAAGTGCTAAATTCGATCGAACTCAGTCTAACGGGTCGAAGTTGAATATACTTCAAATACTCGCTATAAGTGCACCACTATCATTCTGTCTGAGATCACTGAGTTATATGATTCTAAATAAGTTATGAAATTTAGTTTTGTTCACTTCTGTTCTTGCTAGGAAAGGACATAGCAATAGCCAAAAGATGCAAATTCTCAGACGAAATGCTCAGCGTGCTGATATTCTCAGAAGGCAATCAAAAAAGAATGAAAAGCCAAAAGATACAAACTCAGTGTTGATGCATTGCGGACTGATGCCAATTGATTGTTGTTCATATTTGAAGTTTGTTGCCATCACTTCATCATGTTCTTATTGTTGAACTTTATTTTTATCATGGATCAGTGCTCGTTGTTGGAAAGATTTTTGATTGGCATAGTGAGTTTTTCCCTGATAAATGAATGGTGCAATCGCAAATTCTGAAAGATGATTTGGGAGTAGCGTTTAGCGGATTAACTTTACTGAGTAGCGTTTTAGCGAAAGCCGCCACTGTTTTTTCCGATTAGTGGTATTTTTAGCGAGAAACTTTCGCTACTTTTTTCAGCAGTGCTGTTAGCGGATTTTTCTTAGCGGAACGAAAAGCTCATTAGTGAAGAGCAGAGATACTTTTTTGAGTAGCGTGCCCATGGCTCAATAACTGCTATGAACAAGATGTTGTCAAAGTTCACTCAGAGATAGTGTCTTTCAGGCTTGAATATTTTCGCGCTTGCCCAAGCGGCAAATGTCACAAAACGAGAAGGACCGAAGCGCGTTCTTAAGAAGGTTTATCATTGTATAACATCTGATTAGTGCTGGCGTCTTTTAATAATCGAATACTTTTCAAGTTGAATGATCGTTTAACGAGTACCCAAATCTTACAAAACAATCGCCCATTGTTAACGGATTGAGCCAAAATGAATCAACATCGCAGATATGAAGTCGACTGCTTTGTATGAGCATATGCAATATGATATCGTTGCTGGAAATCAATATACCGAATTATACTTAAAGGGCGACGCAGAGGTAGAAGCTGCAGCACCTGTGGCACAACACTTGAACTTCGTTGTTAAGTTCAACCAAATGAGGGCAACTCGCTACGCTTCGGCAAGTAAGAATTCCAAAACTAACGCCTTTGATTCGTTGCAGTTTAGCTAATTATAATCTCATCATGAGTTTAATTCGATCTTGTCACTTTGTTATTGATATGCATTCATTCATGAAAATTCCATATAGTTTTAGTGAAGAGTGTGAGTGAGCTGTCCTTGAAAATTATTCCCAATGGAAATCGTCAAATTATGCAAAACATATGGGAAAATAAGACTCAAAAATCGTGTTGTTGATCGAAGATGCAAGCGATTGCTTGATTAGCTAGAGGCGAGTGATCAACGAATGCATTTCAGTTTCTCCAGTATGGCGGGTTTATGTAACACACCTGTATATTTTCTGCAAATTTCTCAACCTGATGAACATCATGCTGCAGTTCGTCGTTCTCAATCACTTTCTTGGCCCACAATATTCGTTTTGGGGTATCGGAGTACTGAATGACCTCATTCATGGTCGGCAATGGTCGGAAAGTGGACATTTTCCTCGTGTGAGTATCCTTTGCTCACTTTCTTGCTGTCGGCTATTTTCAACAATTTTTAATGACCTCAGTGACCGCTTCTAACCGATTCATCACAAATGTACAATTGCAATTGCCCAGCTAGCATAATCGCCCTTTTTCAGCTAATGAACATTTCTCAATTTTGAAGGATTTCGAATCTTCACAGCAAAACTTTGCATGCACGCTATCAGAGCCATCTGTTGAGCGGTCAATAAAGCGTTCCATTCAAATCGTTTTGAAGGCTAAACAGAATAATCATATAGGTAACATTTTGCGATGTGAATATACGTGAGATCGGTAACGTCAACAAGAAGACTGTACAATGTGTGCTGATGATCAACATGTTCAATGAGAAGATCTTCCTAGGAATTTGGTTTTGGCTGTTGATTGTCGGTGTATTGACGTTGCTGAATCTTGGCTATTGGGCAGTCATCAGCTTCATGCCTAGTTTCTCTTATACATTCATCGCAGGCAATTTGGTTTGTTCTAGCGAGTGTTGCAGTTACTTCATTTATTTGTTCATCGATTATTATTATACGAATGTTTTTCATTCGATTGCATATTTTCAGGCCTTCAAAAGAATTCTTCCTACTCAAGAAGAAGTGAAAGAATTTGTTGATAGAGCCGTTTCAATGGTCGGAACTACTTCAGAATGTTGTTTATCACTAACAGTGCTGTATCGTTTCGATTGAACACAGTTTTCTGATTTCGAAAAGCTATGAATGAAATACTTCTATTATTTCATTGATACTTGCTGCTGAATGAATGTAAAATAATGTTCGTTTTAAGGATGGTGTTACAGTGCTCCGTTTAATTAGCGATAATGCAGGCGAAATGGTGACTTCAGAAGTTGTTGCAGACCTTTGGAATATGTATCAGGAAGATGCCAAACGTACGTTCATGAACTGTGTTAAGTAATCGGAACCATTTGATAAAGTTGGTTGCGGCGTTATCAAATACGAGAATTGAATAGGCGGCGTTTCAGGTCAATCTTCGCAAACAGTTGAAGACGATGGTGATATGAGTATAATGAGTGGAGATTCGAATAATCATCTGATCGGAAGATGACATGAACAAAAAGGAAGAACGCCAATCACGCATAATAATAGATTCAATTTCTCGACGATTTTGTTTGATTCAGAACAGTTGAAGTGTTTAAATTATTGGTGTGCATGCTGCCAAAGCCATCGATAAACTCGACCAATTTCAATGAGCAATAGCGACACGAGACATAACTATATTCATTTCAATCCGATAAATATGCACATCTATGTTCATTTAAAACTCGATGAAATTTACAAAGAGGCTTTTGGCTAATATTGGTTAATTTCCCTCTGTTCATGCTCAAATTGATAAAGGAAATGAAGTAATTGGAATCAACCGACAGATGGTTAAACCTACAAGAAATATGCCCAATAAAATTTATTTACGTTTCTTATAAATGCTCTAAATGACTAGTTCAGCCTTTTTGAGTGGCTCTCTAAATTATCGATTCTTAGTAATCATTTCGAATACATACGTATCTCTCTGCTCATTATTTTTGATTTTCTGCTAATTTATTTGTCATATCTAGCTTCAAGCTTCTTATTCAGACCTTTTCTGGCCATGTCCTCTCGATCACGTCTATCCGTCATATAAATGATTTCTGCTAACATTCATTTCCCTGATGTATATCCAATGAATGCGTTCATTTAATGAATATTTAATTTATCGAGATGATTCTGTTATTGTTTCCAGTGCACTATTCTCTTTCAATATTCGAAAAATAAATCTACTCAAATATAATTTCAAATAAATTCATTCAAAAATATACCACTCATGTACACTTTGCAAAGTAACTAATGTCTTGCATAATTCCAATTAATAACATAAAGTTCATCATCAAATTTGTTCCATTCAGCAGTGGTATGACTCTTTATCTCATTGATAAGAAACTGAACATTAAACACACAATTCATCCCTTGAGTTGCCTATCACTTCGATTCAGGTTATGCAAACCGTCATCATAAACCCTTCATTTGCATACCAACCAGCAAGTAAAAATAACGATTTTGTGGGAGTGGAGAGGGAATTCTTTGGAAATTTCTATTCCAAATAACTCTTTATTTTCTAATGTGCCCATGACTCATGTTAGAGAACGAGTTGGTATAGTACTGAATTGGGATCCACGCTCACTCGATATTAGAAGTAAGCGTTAGCTTCTCCACTTGACATTTTCTGCACAATAATCTAATGGCCGATGTGGTCAACAGATTGTCATTAGTACATCAAAAAGTGAAATTATCAAAAGTGGGTCCTTGACTTCTCACAGCGAAATATACACTCGTTTAACTTCTTTGAATATTGGTTCATGAAGCATAGTAAATGTATTCCCGAGGGAAGGTTTGCTTTGCTTTTGCACGACGGTCGCAGTGAGGAAATTTTGATGAATCATTCATCCAACTCGTTTATTCTGGCAGAATTTTTTTAAAATTCCAAATAACTTCACGCATGACATCGTTTTCCGTAATTGAATTCCATCATTGCAAGCTCCATCTTCACCAAGAAATATTCGTTACCAAACGAGTACGACAATCATAAAATTTGCCCTTACTATCCAATACTGATCATTGAAGTATTTTGATATAATCGAAAGATTGTGATGAAAAAAGATCTCAAACTACTCATTAGATAACGATGGACGATTTCATGTAAAGGACCTTATAAAAAAAGTTCATGATAATTCCCTTCAAAACCAACAGATGAGATGAGCATAGAAGTGCAAATGAAATGTGCGTGTGTGGTCGTTCGATTAGAAGGATTTAGTGTGCGAAGCATAGAGCCATAAGTTCACGTTCGAGTTGTGAAGGGCGGTGTTTATGTGCACGTTATCAGTCAACTCTTGCAGCGTTCACGAGAAGATGCAAGGTAAAAGTAAAAGACTGAATGGCTGAATATGAGTAACGAAATGGAGCGATAGAGTGGAAGTTTGTTTGAAGATTCATCCAAGTTAAATTTGAACTAAGTGTTAACCAATCACTTGCCTGATTGGCAGTCAGACGTTATCGAATGAGTTACTGCCTTAGGATATGAGGATAGCGAATAAAGTTCAGCTGTCCATCCATATTGCTACTACTGCCACCACTATAACTTTTGTTGTTACTATTGCTACAAATACTCCATCTCTTCTCGTATCTCCGTCTAGTAGCTTAGCAATTGGCTTGCTATTGAACGAACGCTGAAAGCATTGCGAACGTTCTCTTCTTGAGCAACTAACGACGAACTAGCCAAACATCCAACATTCCTAACAACACGCATTCAATAATCCATCCGCACTAGTAAACACCTCAGCACCGCTCCCAGCCATTTTCTGTATGTCAGTTTCGTTCTTCAACGGTTTTTATTGTTTGTTTCTTTGGGGAACCAACAGCTACGTGTAATTCGAATCAATTCTTTTACATTGGTGAGTCGATTGTCATGAATTATACTTTTGAAGTTACAATGCGAAATGAGTCCCATTTTAACAGTTTTTTACTCATATAATTTCCAAATCTAATTCTTTTCCTATTGTCCCACTCACGAATTACTTTGCACTTTAAATTGCATGGAAACCCGTTTTATCGTTCCCATCAGCAGAACAAACAGAAAAGAAGCAACTTTTGAGAACTTCGAATGAGGCCATTTGAAAAATAGCAACGGGTATGCTTTTTACAGTAAATACAGCTGCACTGAATTCAAACTCGGTCAGAAATGCTTGTGAAGAATAGCGGGTGTTTGCTTGTCGTTTTGGTTGGCGTCTATTTATTCGATAGTTTTGTGGACAGCGCTCAAGCAAAGGGCAATCCGCATGCAGTGATAGTCGTTAAATCTGGTCGTACATCCAAATTTCATCCACTTCGCTCGGTTGATAATTTAACGTTGTGGTGTCAAGTTGGTTCCACTTCTCTTTCCCTCTGTTCATAATCTTCGATCTAATTCCAATTTTTCACGCTAATTCTTTCTATTCATCGTAAAACTTTCTCAGTTAATTCGAATAATTATACTCATTCTCCTCGAAGAAGGCAGCAATTACAAATCCAGTCCAGTTCTATAATCATATGTTTATTTAACGTTGTATTACTGTCAATCGATATTTCAAAAAATAATGGTGAATTGATGTTGCTTCAAAGTAAAAATTTGAAGTGGCGATACTGTACGAAATTGTTTGTCGAACAATTGGTTTGTGGACGGTATGACTGGAAGCGCTCATAGTTTCGACCACTATGGGGCCGCTGAATTATAGCAGTAGATTTGTTCAGAAAATATTTCGCAGTCATATCTTAACTAGTGTACGTGCATTCGTGTAATATTTTTGTAGTTCTGAACTATCGTTTACCAGAGATGCTACTACACTTTCATCATCGTCTCTTGGCATTTCCCATGTGAGCTGCTGCAGAATACTGAAAAACATGGGATTTAAGCATAATAGATAAAATAAAATGTTTAACAATAATACATCCAAATCTGTTGGGCTGCTTATCATTCTTTAGATGTCAGTTGAATCCTCGAATGGGGATTCACTTGTTCTAATTTCTTTTCGGCCAGTCACCTTTCGCATTAAAAATACTTTAAAGGCAGAAGAACGTGGAAGTGCGTTACGGATAAAATCAGCTAAGTTCATACGAAAAAAGGATGGTACTGCTTTGACGGCGACGTTGAGCGATGATGGTAAACGTGCATCGTATTATTTGGGTGAAGCTACAGTCAATGAAGCTGGTAATTACACTTGCAAGCTAACAACGACCAGTGGTCAAGTGAGTGGGAATCATCAAGTTTTTGGTAAGAATTGTCTTTTTAGTTTCATCAGTTCTTACTGCATTCGGATTTGTTTCCATTTAAAAAGTGATTAAAAGGGAATAAGGTGATTCACTTAAGAGTTTCCGTGATTGCATTTTCTATGCCATCATCTTTCATTTTGTTTCCAAAAAACAAAATTATCAATGGAAACCAACTAAGTCTTCATGGCCGGTTGTTGTCTCTCATTTGGTTTATTTCTCGTTTTTTCGAAACACGAAGAATTTTAGTTTCTTCATCATATTGGAACAGAAACAGTTTGCTTAAGAATGAAGCAGCTGCTGTGGAATGATTCTTAGAAAATACTCTCTTTTAGTTCGACCAGTACTGGTTGCTAGTGAATCAGATCGCCTGGATAGTGTCGAAAATGATGCATTTCGTTTCGATGGTCTTGGTGTAACAGCTGTTCTCGGCCGCAACATTAATCTGACATGTCCAGTGATCGCATTCCCTAGCGCACGCTTTGCATGGTCCAAGGATGGCAAGTCGCTTGGTCAGTAATAACCCCATGTTTAATTGCACAAATACTGTATATGACATGACAACTTGCCATAATCTAATTTGATGATGACCACTTTGGAATTTTTGTTTAACGTTTATTCATCGATATCACTCAAATAACGCACTTGTTTAGTTGATGACGGTGAACATATCCGTTTTGGATCTGACGGTATTCTTCAGTTGTTCAAAGTAACCGACGAAGATAGAGGCGTTTATGAGTGTACGGCCAAAAATGAATTTCCTGTCAATGGACACAATCAGATAAATCAAGTGATTCTTTTGAGGCGACTTCGTCTCAAAAGTAACGTTTTCACTGCTGTTGTCCGTTAATTCGAAGTAGAATATTTCTGTTTGATTTTTTGTGGAAAAAGTGTATGAAGGATTGCATAAATTCGACTCGCATCTTTCTCCACTTCGCTCATATAAATGTGACATGCACGTCTGTTCATATACCTTTGTATTTCAGGCGAACTAGCATGGCTATGGCCACTGTTAGTGATTGTGGTGATTGTCACGTTACTTTTGTTCATTATTATATTATGCGAATTCCGAAAGAAGAGGAACGATCGCAAACTGTTAGAGTCATTTGAATAATTATTCTTCATTGTTTTCAATCTTGATCATTGCGCTTGTTGCTTTGTTTATGTGATGATACATTTAGTTTGCATGTGGCGATTTTGCATTCGTTCAGTTCCTACTGAATGGATAATTTTGTTTTGTTGACAGCATCCTTGTGAAGTATTCGAGCTTATTCCCTGAACTTCAAATTCTCTCTGAAAACTTATTTTATTTTTGCTTTCCCAGGTTGGAAGCTGAAGCTGATGAATGAATTGATTATTGAACGACATGGAACAGGTGCTGCCAATATTGCGTTAGCAATGATTATCGATTATTCGCTCACCTTTTTTGCACTTTAATATTGTCCTCTTTTTGTGTAGCTTCTTTAGGTGTAATTGTAGGTGATCACCTAAAATTACACCTGAACAAAGTATTCTGCAGTTGTATTTTTAGGTAAATGAAATTTTATACTTCCCTTAGTTTATCATTATGTTTGGAGTTCATAGTGAAGAGTTGAGATCTGCAAGTGGTAGTGCAGTTATAATTTGATTTTCATGGATGGTTCACTTTTTAGAACAAGCGATGATCATTCGAGCTCTGTTTGATTTCAGATTGCATTCAACTTGATTTTTACTTTCATATGATATATGTTTACATTAAACTCGTCTTGCCGTTGTTATTTTACAATCATTTGTCCAGCAATACGTTTTTTGCGCCGTTCTTTTAAGACTTTGCTTATCGTCATCTGAGCAGAAATGGAAATTCGATTGTTCTGAAGCAGTTATATCATATTTAGTTGGAATGTTTTTCCTAACGGATTTCCAATTTGTCCTATCAGAAGGCGAAATACGAATGATTTATGGAGTCTCATTCTGCTTCGTTTTCTTTTTTTTGTTCATTTGTATTTGTGGGTTACTGACAGTTTCTGAAGATAATGATTAAGTCAGATATTTTCATTAAAAACATCCTGTCACGTAGTAGTATTGAAGTGCTGTTGTAAAGTGGTAATTATGTGATTATTTTGTTTGTTGTCCTATGATATTGTTTTGTTTTTCAGTATTATGCTCATTCATTTGTATTATGCTTTAATAAATTCGACATAAAAACCATATTGTAACATTTCTTGATTGTTTTACATCAGAGGGTTATGCTGAGTCTGTTGTTGGTTGTGCGTGTGAAATTGAAGACAGCTTTCAACAAGTAGCCGTACTTGGCGACTGAAGCAACTTTGATATCAATGTTAAAACAGAAAACAGTCAAGTGCAGTGGAATGATTTTTCAAGATGAACATTAACACAGGTCATCGGAAGGTGGTATTCGAAGCTGACGAATTGTTCCCGTAAAATAATCTGGAGTCAAATTGAAGCATATGATTCAGCGCAATGATCTCAACTATCGTACTGTAGAAGGGATTTTCGAGTAGTTCAGAATCTTTAGTTTGCACTTGAATATCGTCTGAGGTCGTCTGCTGTTGCTGCGGTTCGTCTTTTGATGAAATCGAGGCATGAATATTGAAGTGATGACAGATTTTCGGATGAGTTGATTTTGCTCAATGTTTTGTTCAATAGAGCGGTTTTACTGATTTATACCAGTTCCGATAGCACGGTCACTTTTCAAAGTGATATCGTTCAGTGATGATTCACAAGCAAATTCATGAGCGAACTTTTGTTGTCGATGCGATTTCGCGTTGATGGTTAATGCAACTACTTGCTTGAGTGATAGAAATTTGTTTCCTAATTTTATAAACCAGAATATTCGATGAGTCATTCTTCATCGGTGTCACCAACTTCCGATTGCTTATAGCAGACGCCTGTGATCAATTCAATGAAGGATTTACAATTGCTTTGGGAAATTTTCGTGATGCCGCTGCTACAATAACGATTACATGCATGTTCGCATGAATAGGCTATCTCTTGCTTGTACTATTTAAATTCCCATCTTGCAATTAGTCTTGCACATCGGTAGACGCTGTTGAGAGGATCTGTGCCGCACTTTTTTATGCTCTGTTTCTCGACACTAAAAGGACCGGAGTTGAAGTATTACTTTAGAGGGAAGAAATTTTCTTCGTAGCCAATACGGTAATTGTTATTTAACAGGTTCTGCATGAGGGATACATTTTCGCTTGATGATAATGTACTGAAGCAATGAGTTAGTGTAATAACAGAATAAATACAGCTCAGTGAATTACTGAATTTTTAAAGCCTGTGGAACGCACATAAGTAAAGCCTTTTTTCAGTTCAGATCTTCCACTTGAAGCGGTCTCATTACGAAATATTATATGATTACGTGAAGTGTTTCGTTTGTGGAAAAGATCACAACTAATATTAGTACATCACAAGGTGCAATGTGCAAATGAAGCACTATAGTACAAAGTAGAGGGTATAAAGTGCGACTTCATTGGTATCACTCAATTACATCTATAATCATGTAAACAGATTACTTCGAATTTCACTCTTCTCCCACTAAACGTTTAGTAGTCAACAATATAAAGTCATCAACATGACGTAATCAACAACGTAAAGTGATCAACAATTGCTTTGATTAAGGGTGAAAGCAAACGAGAGAGGTTTATGATATATAATTGTATCAGACTGAGCCTTATCAGTGCGTTATGATTAGTGTTCCTGTAGACACTGTTCGTCTTTACTTGTGGAAAAGAGCACGACTAATTTTAAAGTCTGACTTCATTAGCATCATTCAATTACATCGTTGGTCATTAGCATCATTTAATTATGAATGATGTATAATTATGAAATATGTTCATGCGTTCTAGCTTTGAATGACAATTTCCGAATTGTTTTATGTTTTTATCAGTAATGATGGCATCTGACCAACATTCGGCCGGAAAAATCTGACAAATTTCAGTTGGAATTTCGACCGAACAATTCTAAGCGATCGAATTCCGAAGGTTCGGTCGGATCTCCGAATGTCGGATCGTATTCCGACCGAAGAATTCCGAAGGTTCGGTCGGATCTCCGAATGTTGGATCGTATTCCGACCGAAGAATTTCGAAGGTTCGGTCGGATCTCCGAATGTTGGATCGTACTCTGACCGAAATGAAATTTCGTTTTGATGCCGTCAGTGTTTACCAGCGATCATTTATTAATTGAGCATTTGTTAATGAATATGTGGTGCTAATAATCTTCTCTTGATACCTTAATAGAACGAGTATTGCACAGTATGTGATCGTGAGTAGTTCAGTCAATCAGCAGAAATTACTGTAAATGACAAAGGTCTTCGACGAACAAAGTTCAATGGTGAACATGCTTGAGAACGTGCGTAAACTTGTTACGTTGAAGAATATTATATGACTGAAGATTCAGGAGTGAAAGAGACCCGGAGAACGATCGGAAACGAATGTTGAGGAAGAGGTGAGCGAGAAGAGGGACAAGATAAAATGTGTTCATCGATCTAGATTTGAACGAGATGACATTTTTTTTCGAGGAATTTCGCAATGAAATCAATTAGGAATTCAGTCGATTGTCCATTATGATGAGGTGATGCCACAGTTGATTGATGCATATTTTGTTTAGTATTTAATCCTTTCGTTAAAATTACTCAACGATTATCAACATTTCGTTGTGTGCTGTAATGTTTCTCGCGTTTTGGTCTCGGGTGGTTTTGAATAATAATAATTGTTATAATAATAATAATGATAATGATAATAACAATAATAATAATAATAATAATCATTATTATTATCATTACTATTATTATTATTTTTATTATTATAAATATTATTATTGCTATTATTACCACTGATTATTAAAATTGTTACAAATATTATCACTGTCTTTATTTTATCATAGTCATCAGTGAATTTATTGATATTCGAATTTTTAACCGAATTAAAATATCGCGGATGGTTAAGCAATGATAATCAGTATAAGATAAGGTAGCGCATTTCATTTGGACGAAGCCTTAGGCTCAAGCTCATACCGGGGCTGAAGCATCTATTAGACAGAAAGACGATGTTGTCATGCCGAGGTAAGGTATGTATCAATTAGATAGATGGTTCTTCGGTATGAGACTCAGCCCATAAGCCTAAGTCCAAATGTAATCTATCGCCGCACCCTACCTTAATTATCCGCATTTGGATTTCAAAATCACTGACTAATTGAGGTGCAAAGTACAGAACATTAATATTAATATCCATCACTCCACACTTTTTGAGTTGCTCTATGCTGCACTGATCCGGTGTTCTTTTTTTCGAAATTGAATCTTCTTTTATTGATTCATTTTGAATTATTTCTTTTTTCAATGTTCAATTTAAATAGTTTTTCTTCCTAAACTGTTCTTCTGCAGTCGGTTTTGGATGTTTGACTTCTTGAGCTGTTCTAAACCTTTGGGTGGAACAAAATTATTGGGAAAAGAATCGAAAATAGTGGCCAACACAATGCGTCGCTGCTTCCAACCGTTTCCTTATCAGTGTAATTGAAAGTCCCAGATGACGGCAGCCTGTAAAATTCCTACGGTCATACCAGTAAGTCCGAATATATTATGATCCCTTGTAAGCCTAAAGCTCAATATAACGTCAAGCCTAGGACTTAACCTGAACTCGAACCCGATTCGAATGTACTGCTAAACGTTAATAGATCAGTGTAGATGAGTGCATTGAACAAGACTGACGTAGATCACACCGGTTGATCAATGAACAAAAAACATACTACATTGTACAAGGTACACTTGCGATCAGCTGATTCATGAGTAGCGCGTAATGTTTACTTTGCAATCAACAAAGATAGTGTTTGGTTTTGGTGGTTAGCTGTATGGAGTGAACTTTATGGTGGAGTGTGATGTGTGGTGGTGATGTGAGTTGCGTTTGTTCATATATTTGGAAGATTCTTTACAAATGCGTTATGTTAGTGCTGTTTTAGTTATCGAAATTGATGCAGAAACTGACTTAAAAAGTTTTTGTTTCGTTCTTAACTTCATTATAATATCTTCTTGTAATCGTCATCTGCTTGTGATTCTTATTTATTTGCATTTCAAAGTTTGATACGTTTCAGACGATGATACTTACATGCTGCCACTATAGGAATAGTAATTAATTGAACGGCGTTTGTGAATGCATTTTTACTTTTTCGAAATGTTTATTGCTCTGCTTGAGAATTATTAGATAATCGGCTGGAAAAGTACACCTTAGCTCAACTCAAGCATGATTCTCTCGAATAAGGCTTGGGCCTAGGGTCACGTGAATGAGTTTATCACTTAGTGCAGTGAAACGGTTGCATGATGCAATCTGCTAAATCACTGTGTTTGCGCGCGCATAAAAAGAAGATTCTGTTTAATTCGGTTTTTAGATTCATTTGAATTGAAATATTTCAGCATTGTTCATATTGAGCAGAATTCTGTTTGTTCGTTTAGTAATTTGTTAGCAGTTACAATGTCAACTTCAACCGCTAGTGGATGCACGTCTTATATCGACCAGCTCTATACTCGTCTCTGTGCAAATCCTGTCATCCAACAAGTTTGCTGTTTTTTACTATTTTTTTGCTTGCTTCTCTTTTGGCTTTGGCTTCTTTTGGCTTTCTCTTGTGAACATAGTAAAATTTCATGACTGTGTTCACAAGAGAAAGCCACTCAGCTGAATTATGAATATCTATAACAGGTGAATTAATGAGAAGTTAAATTCTTTCTCTGTTTTGCAGTTCTTTTTCGTTTTCAAATATCGGTCCGCAACATCAGATATATTATTCAGCGAATATGATTTTAATTGCTAGAGAACATTTGAAGCGAACGAGTAAAAAGAGTGATTTATTTTTGATTCTTAAAGATGCTGTTTGGTTATGATCGTACCAAACACAGTTGCGCACTGATGGAGAGCACGTTAGGTGCTGTCGAATGTAGTGTGCAGAGTGCAGCTCAGATTGCTGCTCCTGTTTACCAATCCTACTGTCAACCATCAGTTGATGCAGTTGTTAATGCATGCTCGAAAGGTGAGTGAAGTGGCAAACGTATTGTTGATATTAGTTGAACTTCAGTGGACATGCTGTTAAGTGCGTATTCAAAATGCTTTATCACGAAACTCACTAAAAACTCTCTTATAAAGTTCTAATTCTTTCATTTAAATTGGATCACCGTAGTGAGCGTGAAATTTCGTCAAGCAATTGGAATTTGCGCAAAAAATGAACTGTTGAGTATCGCATGTATATGTTTGAGGAAATTCATCGAAACCCAGATTAAGGTGTTGAAAATATGAAGTACGTTTTTGATGTGAGCAAATCGGCAGCTATGCTTGGCGTTGGAGCAGTTGTAGTGGCGACACAACTTAGTTTAGCGTTGGGTGTTGCTGGTGCGAATCTTCTTCTCGATTCGTTGATTACTTCAAAAAGAATTGCTGGAAATATGCTTCTATCTGCTAAGGTGTGTAATTCACGGATTAATATTTCTCATGACATTTTGCATAGTCCTAAATGTGGGCCTACAGCACACGTAGCTCTTAATATTCTTTTGGTTGGTGTCATCGCTCGATAACCGCCTTATTTATCGATGTGATCAGAGTAATGTTAAATCAATGGTATAGGTCAGTGACGTTCGAAGTGCTATAAAGTTTCAATGTAACTTCGCATATGGTTTATAAATCAAGTCATTATATTCGTATTAAATCAGTATAAATTCGGAGGGCCTCATCATTGATTCTTTATTGATATATTCGAATTGAGACGCCCATTTCACAGAGATACAACGTAATGAAAATTGCGATTTGAGGATGCTGAAAGAGCGATGCAGCAATGTGTGAACGGTTTGATTCAACAAACACAAGATCTTGTTCAAGTAAGTTGACCTCTTTGCCGACAGTTTATTGCTGTTTCATTGCTTCTTAAGCCTTTGTGGCCGAAGCCCCTCTTTGGCCTTGCAAAAGAGTAACGTTCCTCGTTTTTTCGACGATTATAAAGGACTCTTCTCTCCTTGTAGCATTGTTCTGCAAATATCTTCTGATTATACCCGATAACCTGAAATTCGTCCTTTGAAAGAAATCTCGCCATTTTCGGAGCTCCTGGTCTATGCCATTATTTGAGAATGTGAAAATGCTGCGATTGTATACTATACAATCACGGAATTTTAAACAAATTGTTCACTTGCTTTGATCCTCCAGTTCCGTACGCATTTTCCCTGCATTTATTTCCAGATGTTACTCAGTATTAGCACGAGGTAAAGGAGGAGCAAAAATAAGGGAGAAATTCATGAGTGAGCGATTTTTAGTGTTGATACTTGTTGATTGAGTGGAAACCTTCAGGTACCAGTAGCAAAATTAAGTGAGCAAGCAAACATTCTTCTGGATGTCATGAACGCAGTTGTGGATCGTTTGTTTGGGTTGAGCTCTGAGGCAGATCCTGCCGAATGCACGATTGGCCAGAGACTTGGTCGTTTAGGACGTCGTGTTTCGGGTGTGCTGACGAGTCGTGCTCACGATGGAGTGATCGATCCTCTTCATAATCAGTTGAATACGGTCATGGAACAACTCGCCAAATCGATGATCCTTGTTAGTTGTTCATTTCGACTTTTATCATGATTCATAGATGTAATATCATTTTCACTCGTTTCAGCGCATGCTTCGGATAATTTTCGTAGTTACCCTCTGCGCATTCTATAATTCATGCCAAAATTGCATGAATTACTCATTGAATTGTTGTACATTGTTGTATATTGCACGTTGAACCGTTTCATGTGTATATCCACCATTGAAGTGTTTTTCGTTGTATTTGAGGTGGATTTGATTCGTAAACAGCAAGAATGGGCAGTTGAGAAGGCAGGTGAACTGCATACATCAGTACTCGAGTTGAAGGATCGTGTTGAGCGAGAGGCAAAACAGTTGAAGCAAAAACCTGAGGACATTCTAATGCGCTCATTGCGTCATACCTCCGAACAACTCATCAACAATCTCATGTCTCTCAAAGATAAAGGCAAACAGGTGAGTTGAGAAGTGTATGAGATTTACAGTTCGTACATCTTGCTGTTTCTTTTGCAATAAGTAACTGTATCGCACGGAAAATTCATTTTTCATCCGTTAGTTTACTGAGAATTTCATCCTTTTTCCAGTTCACACCTCAGTGCTGTGAGACTTGTACCTCGTTTTATTTTTCATTTGTTCCGCAATCATTTAACTGCTGTTAACACATATGAGGATTATTCATCCCTGAAATTCGATTCATTTGCAGGTATTCAGCGAATCTACCAATGCCAAACTTACTACGGCAGTGACATATTTTGGCCAGTTTGACGAAAGTTTAGCGAATGCATCGGATATTTATGCGGTGAACGAAGAAGTGAGCACATTTTGCTCGAGATAAATTCATTTCATCGTGTTTAGCGAGCTTTAAAAAGTTTTTTCGTTGTCGGAATAATACGCGTCGCAGTAATGTGCCATTTCCACGTATTTTCGTTCATACACTTTGACAGTTATTGTAACTGCAGTATGAATAATGAACATCCTATCATAATCGTCAACTCTTCTACTGCACTCATACAAAAAAGAGTTATAAATTAAGCGCACACATGTAAAGCTCATTTAATGCTTACACAGTCAACATGAAACCGCTGTTTTATTCTCAGTGTTTAGATGGTCAGTAGTTTCGATACGGATGTTTTGCATGTTTTCTGTGATTCGGTATATTTTCGTTGTCTACTTATTCATTTTCTACTCTTATATATATATA